TAACACTGTTCCCTGCAAGCCCATTTTCTTAAATGTAGAATTTAAAATACACATTAATACACTTAATTTGACCTTATGTAAAAGTGTACTTAAGTGTGTTAATAAAACATTACATTTATTTTAAGTATTTTTATTATTTCATTAATACTGTTGCCTGCAAGCCCATTTTCTTAAATGTAGAATTTAAAATGTATTTTAAAACACTTAATATGACTTTATTTAAAAGTGTACTTAAGTGTGTTAATAAAACATAACATTTATTTAAAGTATTTTGTTTTATCATTTCACCAAGTTGACTGCAACCACATTTTCCTAAATATAATATTTAAATTTACTTTTAAAATTGTCAAAAAATACACCTATAAACGGCTGACAACACACTTTAATTTGATTCTACTTAAAAAGTGTACTTAAGTGTGTTTTGGAAAGTCAGTATAGGTATACTTGGTGTTAGTATTCTTTTGTTTTAGTAGCACTATTTTATGTATTTAAACATGTTTACAAGTTTATTTTGACATTATTTCGATGTTACCATTTAACCTCTCTTATTTATTATATTTCACACTCTTTGAAATTATGTTTTAAATGCACTTTTAAGCTCTTTTAAGTCCACTATGAGTGCATTCAGCACAATGAACTTGACTTCTCTTTTCAGAAGGACAGTCTGTTTGAATGCCAGTGTTGATCAGTTCGCTATAGTTATGAAGTTATGGGGGGAACGCTTTGATAAGCATGTTTAATCCCTGCAGTGTCTGGTGGGTTACTGCATGGCATGAGTGTGGCGCTAATGGAGCGTAATGGGCTTCAGTCCTCGGAGAGTTTTATTTGTCAGTTCTCTCTCAGGGGCTCTGTGTGTTTGTGTAGTTGGCCATCGCTGCTCCTCGTCAGGATTATTTTTAGACTGTGGGTGAAGCATTCGTGTGATTTCTCTGAACACACACACACACACACACACACACACACACACACACACACACACACACTCCAGAGTAGAGATTTCATGCATCAGAGAGAGAGAGAGAGACGAGGGCTTCTGTGCGACTGATCACTTTTGGTTAAACTATAGAAGAAACAACTCACTGACGTCTAAACGCAGCACACACACACACACAACTAACACACACATACACAGAGAGAAATGCAACACACACACACACAAACCCATAAATTAAACACACTATTTTACGCACATGCATTCACTCACTTAACCACAAACATTCATGCACACATATTCAAACATATATGCGCAAACACACACACACTCACACACACACACACACACACACACACACACACACACACACACACACACACAAACACAAAAAAAGTGAGTCCCAGCATTGTTTACAAAGTTAAGCTGCGTGTGTGTTTAGATGTATTTTCTGTCTCTGTTAGTAAATACAGTAATTATACCTGTTTTAATAGTTTGTGAGGAAATCTGAGATGCACTTTTGATTCGTCTGCATCTGTTTCGGTTTATAATTGTGGTATAATTGGTTTTAAATAAATTACCATCACAGTTCACTGTTGAATTGTTTTTGGTTATGTCTGTGTATATATTGGTCAGAGATGTTGTCAGGCTTTTATAAGCACCAGATGTTGTGTCTGAAGTCAGATTATTGGGAAAAGTATTTGCAGTATGGATAAGCTGTGTGGTTTGTTAAACAGCTGATTCACCGAGTCATTAGATTCATCAGTAAAGATTCATTCAGTCATTAGAGGACTCTGATTAGATTTATGTTGTTTTCATCATAACAATACATGAAGTTTACACCTAAAATTCCTCTCCAGATACTGAAAAAGGGCATTAATTAGCCACATAAAACTACATAAACTAAAAATACATCTTATATGTTGTTGTCTGTGTTTATTTATTGTTTACAATGTAAAATTGGTTTTCTTCCTCGTATTTTGTTAAAGAAAGAAAGGAGAAAATGTCATACAATATTATGACAGTTTGTGCCAATAATGAAGGGAGGAATAAGTGAATAAATGAATGAATAAATAAATTAATAAATAAATAGATAAATAAATAAATGAAGGGAAATAAATAAATGGATAAATGAATGAATGAATAAATGATGTAATGAATGAATTAATTAATTAATAAATGAATATAATAAAAATGAATCAATGAATGAAAAAATAAATAAACAAATAAATACGTTGTTAATTAAATAATTGATTCATGACAAATTAAATAAATGATTAATTGAATAAATAAATAAATGAATAAATAAATGAATGAATGAATGAATAAATAAATAACTAAATAAATAAATAAGTACATAAATGAATAAATAAATGAATGAATAAATAAATGAATGAATGAATAAATAAATAACTAAATAAATACATAAATAAATGAATGAATAAATAAATACATGAATGAGTGAATGAATGAATAAATAGAATAAACAAATAAATGAATGAATAAATAAATGTATAAATAAATAAATAACTAAATGAATGAATGAAAAAATAAATGAATGAATGATTAAATGAATAAATAAATAAATTAATTAATTAATGATTAAATAAATAAATAAATGAATGATTGAATAAATAAATAAACAATTAATTAAATGAATGTATTAATAAATGAATGAATAAATACATAAATGAATAAATGAATGAATGAATGAATAAATAAATAAATTAATTAATAAATAAATTAATTAATTAATTAATTATTAAACTAAATGAATGAATAAATGAATGAATAAACAAAAACATAAATGAAAAAATAAATTAATTAAAAAGTTAATTAACTATTTAATTGATTAATAAATGAATAAATGACTAAATAAATGAATAAAAATGAATTAATAAATAGAAAAAAATGAATTAATAAATGAATAAATAAACTAATAAATTAATTATTAATTAATTAATTAAAATAAACAAATGAATAACTGAATAAATAAATAAATGATTAAATAGATGAATGAATGAATAAATAAATGAATGATGAAAGCACCATAACTTCTGACAAAAGCAGGAGAAGAGGAATCTGATAATAATGAATGAGGTGATTGTTTTTTACTTCTACAAATGAAAAAAATAATTTTTTGCATGTTTTCAGTGACAGATCTGTAATACATCATGTCATTCTGCTTCTCGAGTAAATGTATATTGATTTAAACATATTGATAATCTAGGCCAGAGATGCTCAAACTAGAGCCTGCGGGCCAAAGTTAACCTATATGGTAACCTTTGATTTGGCCTGTCGTCATATTCTGAGAAGAAATGGAGAATGATGGGGACACTTAAGAGCTAACGGAAAATAGTGTTTCAATTTAAATGCTGTGATTTAGCTGAACATGTACACACAGTCACCTGACAGATAGAGGACGATGCAGAGACTTTGGTGAGCAAGTCAAGGCAAAGGCAGATTCTGCTTGACTAGTGTATTCAGCATTGAGCTCCACTGTCATATACACTCACCGGCCACTTTATTAGGTACACCTTACTACCACTGGGTTGGACCCCATTTTGAACTGCCTTTTGACCCCCTTCAGAACTGCCTTAATGCTTTGTGGCAGAGATTCAACAAGCTACTGGAAATATTCCTCAGAGATTTTGCTCCATATTGACATGATAGCATCACACAGTTGCTGCAGATTCGTCAGCTGCTCATCCATGATGCCATGATCTCCCGTTCCACCACATCCCAAAGGGGCTCTATTGGACTGCTGATGCCAAATTCTGACCCGATCATCTGAATGTGGCAGCAGCGGATCGTCTTGACCATGTCTGCATGCCTAAATGCATTGAGTTGCTGCCATGTGATCGGCTGATTAGAAATGTGCATTAATGAGCAGTTGGACAGGTGTACCTAATAAAGTGGCCAGTGAGTGTAAATGTGATCATTTAAAAAGGTATTCTGCATTAGTGGATGCGCTTCAAATTAAATTTATTCTGTTCATTTTTAAATTTTAGGAAATAAATTGGGAAATTACCCATGGCAACTTCAATGTAATATAGTTTGGTATATTTGCCACGGCTCTCAGTGATGTTTGGCTTTTGGCCTTTCATACGAAAATGTTTGGGCACCCCTGATCTACGCTTTTTGTACTAAAAGATAACAGGACATAAAGACTGTACAATTTCTATCAGAATATCTGATCTACAATCTGATTGTCCTGCTTTAATGGCTATTAAAGATGAGCTTGAATCAGTCCTGTCTTGTTGATATGATAATACACATTACTAGAGAGACATGTGTCAATCAATTTGGTGGGCGGGGACACCGCAGTCCAACGTCAAGTTGCGGTCAGCCTCTAAATAGGAGGGATTTGGATCCTATTTCAACGTCAGCGAATTTAAAAAGAGACTGATTGTGCTTATATCACCCCAATATGCCTGTGGACACACTATGCCTACACACAGTTCTGTCCCAACGGCTTACAAAAGAGGACTTTCATCTTAGGTGCCCTTTTAAAATGTCAGTAAAATGCAGTATTAAAATATAACTATTAAATAGTAGCAGATATGAGGCCTATAACCGCAAAAAAATAAAAAAAAATCCACTTTTTGTGGATTTTTACACACAGGAGCCTCAATAAATGTCATTTTAGAAGACTATTCCAGCAAATAACTATTCATATATTCATAAAAAGATTGAGGTCATCTCCCAGTATTGCAGGATAAGTCGATATATTGATTATTGTGACAGGCCTAGCTGTATTCATATTGTAGGCTAGCATGCAGATGTTCAATAGTTAACAACTTCTTCTGTCACTAGTTGTATTAGCTCAGCCAGTCGAACAGCAGATGCAGTGATTTCTCCAGCGCTCTGCGAGGGAATGTATGAACTGTAATCTGTCTCTCTTTCTATGCTAATTTGTTCTAGCTGTAATTTCTAATTAAGAAGAGTCAAAGCCCAGCGGAGACGCGCAGCTCCCGCCGGAACAGCGTCTGTGCGCATGCGCCTCTCAGATCTGGCGCAGTGTTTATAATCTTCATCTGTGTGTGTGTTTGTGTTTCTGTGTGTTCAGGACGGCGTAAACCGATCATCATGACCACTGAGATGCAGGAGATCGCCATCACGGAGGAGAAGCCCTTACTGCCCGGTCAATCAGACGCCGTCAAGGTCAACAAACACACATTGATAGAGTTCCGTCATTAGTTTATGCTTTGCTGCCACCTGCTGGACACTTGGAAAACTTCAACACACTAATAGATCCGTGACACTATTGTTTATACCATGGGTGCACTGTAAAAAAAAAACACATTTTACAGAAAATATCCTTAAATTTTTTACAGTAATTTTTTGTAATTTCACATTCAAACAACCAATCTCTCTAAATTAACCGTTTGACTTTAATTTTAGGTACTTTATTATTAAAGACAAATTACTGACATTTGTGTTTTTTTATACAGGGAAATTACAGTATTATTTATACAGCATTTTTTCTATTATTTTAAATTATATTCAAAAGTTCGTAAAAATCACAAACATTATCTGTAAATTAACGGCTTGACTGTTATTCTATGTACTATATAATAGTGATGCGCGGATGGCCTATTATTTCATCCGCAACCGCATCATAAAACTCATCATCCGTCCGCCTTCCATCCGAACTAACATTTTTGACCAATTTTTAAAACCGCACCCGCCCGCCATCTGCTGACTGAGCTCTTTATTTGAATGGCTTATTCCTTTTTATTATTAAATGAATGTTTCTTTATTGATTATTAGAAAGTAGAGAATGACTTTAATGACATGCAGTTAATCCAAACGTGCAAGTCAAATCCAGCATTAATTGACGCTTTGAAGTGACGCTAAACATTACGAGGACCTGTCTTTTCACTTGATTCGATTCCTCGGTCCTTGAGTTTTTTTTTTTTTCGTCCTTCCCTCACATCCTATAGGGGTGGAAAGACGAGGAAAGAAAGCAAGGAAAGGAAACGAGGATACACAAATAAGAAATGAGAAGCACCTCTCAGAATATCAGCAGTGAACTCCGTCTCCAATTGGCGCACAGGGACAAAAATAAATAAATAAATAGCCTAAATGAAACGCACTGTACTGTACATTTTTTTTAATTATTGTAGCCTAATAGAAAACGCATTTTGACACATCATTTCAACATTCAGACGAGAGCGCCTGGCCTCTAATGCGCCCTGCTGCACTGAAGGAGCGCTCGCTCGCAGCACTTGTTGCTGAAATACATAGAATTCTCTTGGCAAGGTGCTGTAGTCGTGGGAATGACTGCCTTGTTTCTCCCAAAAGGAAAGTAGATTTTCCTCTGCTGATCCGTCCATTCTTAATTTTGTAGACGAAGACTTCTGTACTTCATCCAGAAGTAGTGTATCCGATTCCTCCTCTCATTCTGTAAAGTCAGTTCTAGGTTTTTTCGTTGGTGCGCCAGCTATGTGTACAAAAACAGTACAACCGCCCGCCACCCGCCCGAATTTAATTAAAATATTATTTTTCGTCACGTCATCCGCCCGATCCCGCGGCTGTAACCGCCATCCGCGCATCTCTACTATATAAGTAATGACAAATTACAGCAATTTGTCTGTTTTTTACAAAAAATTGACATATTATATAGTGTTTTTTCCTGTTTTTTAAGTACATTTAAAATTACGTAAAATTAAAGTAATAAATTGTAATCACTTGCTCTGTAAAAAAAAAAAAAAAATCGTAAAAAAAATGTCAAATGACTGGCAGCTACGGCTGCCAAACAAAAACCATAAAATTAAGGTAAAATTTCTTTGTCGGAAAAAAAGTGCAAAAAATAATAAATCTACAGATATTTTCATTAAAATGTTTACAGAAAAACACTGTTATTTTACAGACTTTTCCTAGATTATTACGATCAACTTTTGCCTTGCTTTGTTTGTTAATTGTTTACGTTGTTTGCTGCCGGGACTGACCATTTGCCTGTTGTTTGACCATGACTCTGGATTCCCTGCATAATGTTACATCTGTTTGCCCCTGTGTTGACTGTTGCTTGCCTTTGGATCTGCACTCATTTGTCAGTGTCCCCTTCATGTTACAGCTCCATTTCATTTAAGATCTGTAACTGAATCATTCCATATAACTTAAACCTCTACATGTTTTACATAAACACTATTCAATCAAATAAAACAACTGTAATTTTAAAGTTGTGAGAATTTCAATCGGTTGTATCTCGTTTGTTGTATTTTGCAAAAAATTTTGAGCATGTCTTGGCATGTTATTAAAGGTGTTTAATCGTAATGATTCAAGGAAAATTCTTTTAAATAACATTGTTTTCTCTTGAACTTTTAGTGCAGTCACTTTATTGATGGTGTTTGATCATAATAATCTAGGAAAAGTCTGTATAATAACAGTGTTTCTTCATAAAACTCTTAGTGTATACCTTTATTGAACGGATTTGATCATAATAATCTAGGAAAAGTCTGTATAATAACAGTGTTTCTTCGTAAAACTCTTAGTGTATACCTTTATTAAACAGATTTGATTGTAATAATCTAGGAAAAGTCTGTATAATAACAGTGTTTCTTTGTAAAACTCTTAGTGTATACCTTTATTAAACGCATTTGATTGTAATAATCTAGGAAAAGTCTGTATAATAACAGTATTTCTTCGTAAAACTCTTAGTGTATACCTTTATTAAACGCATTTGATGGTAATAATCTAGGAAAAGTCTGTATAATAACAGTGTTTCTTCATAAAACTCTTAGTGTATACCTTTATTAAATGGATTTGATGGTAATAATCTAGGAAAAGTCTGCATAATAACAGTGTTTCTTCGTAAAACTCTTAGTGTATACCTTTATTAAACAGATTTGATTGTAATAATCTAGGAAAAGTCTGTATAATAACAGTGTTTCTTCGTAAAACTCTTAGTGTATACCTTTATTAAACGGATTTGATGGTAATAATCTAGGAAAAGTCTGTATAATAACAGTGTTTCTTCATAAAACTCTTAGTGTATACCTTTATTAAACAGATTTGATTGTAATAATCTAGGAAAAGTCTGTATAATAACAGTATTTCTCTGTAAACATTTTAATAAAAATATATCTGTAGATTTATTATTTTTTGCACTTTATTTCAACAAAGACATTTTACCGTAATTTTATGGCTTTGATCTTTTTTTTACGATTTTTTTTCTCACAGTGTGCCCAGACCGTTTCTAATGAAGGACCAAAAACAAACAGACCTGAGGGCTAAATATATCAATATTGAGTCAGAATTGAATACGCTAAATTGGCCGTAGTGTGTGAATGTGAGAGTGTATGGATGTTTCCCAATACTGGGTTGCAGCTGGAAGGGCATTTGCTGTGTGAAACATTTGCTGGAGTAGTTGTGGCGGTGGCGACCCCTGATAAAAAGGGACTAAGCTGAAGGAATTTAAATGAATGACAATGAAAACAAACAAGTCCATCTAACACTATTAACTGTTAAATAAATCTGGTTCATTCACAACATTTAATTCAAACATTCAAGCTTGATTTTTTGTAGCTCAACAATAAAACAAACAAACAAACAAAATACTACACTATATTAGAAATGGCAGTCTCTATTAAAGGCATTCCCCTGATCCTCCCCTTCATTTTTACTGTGTTTTCTGATGGCATAGTGGACCAAATCTAAAGTTATCCTGAGCCAACTTTGACCTGTGGGCGCTAGTTTGGTCATCTCTGGTTTATTCAGTGCACATCTCTTCCTACATTCCAAGTTATTTAGCTGATAGATATTTGTCTCTTTTAATATTGTTATATTGTTTGCAGTGTTCTGTGTTTATTATTAGGTTTATGTTTTTGTCTGATTAATATTCTTGTCTCATTGTAAAGCGCCGTGGTCAAATATTGTGTGTTTGTTTGTGCTGTATAAGTAAATGAAGTGAAAGGAAATTCAGCAGGCTATAGAATTAACAATCATAACTAATAGAATTCATGTGTGAAGTTGCTGCCAGGCAGCGTTACAGTAAATAAATGACCTGTTTTATTATTTATTAGTGGAGTTTGCAAAGTTTAGTCGTTTTTCTTCTTCACAAACTTAAAATTGCTTTATTTTAATTTTAATTTGACTTATTGTAACACATTATTCTTTAACAACTTAGCTAATATATATTTATTGACTTTTTTATTTCAATTATTTCCATTTTTTTTGTTTTTATGAAGTTTTCAACATACTTTACTCATATATATATATATATATATATATATATATATATATATATATATATATATATATATATATATATATATATATATATATACAGTTAGAGTCAGAATTATTAGCCCGCCTTTGATTTTTTTTTTTGTTTCTTGTTTTCTTTTGTAAATATTTCCCAAGTGATGTTTAACAGAGCAAGGAAATTTTCACAGTATGTCCGATAATATTTTATCTTCTAGAGAAAGTCTTATTTGTTTTATTTCGGCTAGAATAAAAGTAGTTATTAATTGTTTCTGAGCTATTTTAAGGTCAAAATTGTTAGCTCTTTTAAACAATATTTGTTTTGTTCTACAGAACAAACCACTTGTTTTACAATGACTTGCATAATTAACCTAGTTAAGCCTTTAAATGTCACATTAAGCTAATAAGATATCATAAAATAGGATAAAGATAAAATAAATCAGTTATTAGAGATGAGTTATTAAAACTATCATGTTTAGAAATGTGTTGAAATAATCTCTTCTCTCCGTTTAACAAAAATTTGGGAAAAAAATAAACAGGGCAGCCAATAATTCAGGAGGTATATATACACACACACCATACAAACCTTTCCAAAATGTTTTTCAAGATTAAAAAGAAATTAACTTTTTTAATTTTTATTGTTTAATAATTTAATTTAAATTAATTATTTTATTTTATTTCATTTGATTTAATGCTGAAATAAAAGTTGAAGTAAATGTTATATTTTGTAAATGACAATAAAATGACACATAGACCAAAATATTCCAAACATTTTTTGAAGTCCAAGTAAAAACACAAAATCTAAAAATAAAGTCTTATTAAAAATTAATAAAAAAAGTCATAACAATATTAATAAATCAGTGATGCTAAAATTACACTGCATATGCATATGAATGCTGTATGCCAGGTAACAACTTTATATTCAATTTTGTTTTTTATTTCACTTTTTTCTTTTTTACTTTTCATGTTTTTTATGAAAAGTTTTTTATATAGTTTACCAAAATATTTATTGAACTATAATTTTTTTTTAAAGAAAAAAGACAATTGAAATTTAATTAAACAGAAATAGTCAACTTCATCATTTTAATAGAATATATTAAAAAGCTGAAATAAAAATTTAAGCATGTACTGAGTTAATGACAATAAAATGACAAAAAGACTGGAAAATTACTAGCATTTTAAGTAAAATCCCAGTAAAAACACAACATCTAAAATATTAATCTAATTAAAAATAGGAGCCATAACAATAATCAATCGGTGATGGTAAAATAACACTGCTTTGTATATGAATGCTGTATATATTGCCTCTTGATTGACAAAGTTGCATTTTAATTGTACTTTCTTAATGTTGATTCATCAATAAATGTAACCTACAAAAAAACTATAATTAAAACAAATAATCAGATTTGGGATATTTTGGAAATGCATGTCAAACTGATATTGGGATATCGTCAGGTCTGATGTTGTGTGATCATGTGTTTTCAGGATGCTGAAATCGCAGCCCGAATATTGCTGGACCAAGGCCAGGTGAGAGAACTGTTTGTGTTTGGATTGTCACAAGCTTGGATAAAGTTCTTGTAGTTTATGTGGCTAATGAATGTGTTTTTGGGATCTGGAGAAGATATTCAGATGTAAAACTTCATGTACTGTAGATTTTAGATTCAGTGCAGCTTTAGATGTAAGGTTTAGATTCAGTGTAGTCCATTATTGCTTTCTTTTAGCTTTCATTATATGCGTATAAAGTTAAATGTTAACTGTGTGTAATTTACTCCTTTATTATTGTTGTTGTTGTTGTTATTATTATTATTATTATCATAAAATCATGAAATTTATTATTTTATTTTTATTATTTTTTATGATTTATTATTATTATTATTATTATTATTATAAAATCTTGGAATTTATTATTTTATTTTTATAAATTGTTTATTATTATTATTATTATTATTATTATTATTATTATTATTAAATCATAGAATTTATTATTTTATTTTTATTATTTTTTTCAGTTTTATTATTATTATTATTATTATTATTACTATTATTGTTATTATTAAATCATGGAATTTATTATTTTATTTTTATTATTTTTTAAATTATTTTTATTGTTGTTATTATTATTATAAAATTATGGAATTTATTTTATTTTTATTAATTTGTTTATGATTTATTATTATTATTATTATTATTATTATTATTATTATTATTATTATTATAAAATCTTGGAATTTATTATTTTATTTTTATAAATTTTTTATGATTTATTATTATTATTATTATTAAATCATGGAATTTATTATTTTATTTTTATTTTTTAATGATTTTTAATATTATTATTATTATTATTATTATTATTATTATTATTATAAAATCATGGAATTTATTATTTTATTTTAATTATTTTTTTCTGATTTATTATTATTATTATTACTATTATTGTTATTATTAAATCATGGAATTTATTATTTTATTTTTATTATTTTTTTAATTATTTTTAATATTATTATTATTGTTGTTGTTGTTGTTATTATTATTATAAAATTATGGAATTTATTATTTTATTTTTATTAATTTGTTTATGATTTATTTTTATTATTATTATTATTATTATTATTATTATTATTATTATTATTATTATTATAAAATCATGGAATTTATTATTTAATTTTTATATATTTTTTAAATGATTTTTTATTATTTTGTCTTGTTACAAAAGTTTTAAAGGACAAACTGGAAAGTATTTCACTCTGTTTATCATATCAAGCATTTATATTCTTTTCACTCAATAAAAAAAGAGAAATTAAGTGTGTGTGTGTGTGTGTGCAGGAACACACTGTGGAGACTCCTCACGGCGTGCTGCATGTGACAGTTCACGGCTCCGGGAACGCTCGCAGACCAGCCATACTGACCATCCATGATGTGGGAATGGACAGTAAGTCTCAGATGATTTATTTCAAGCACAAATAACTCGGTCTTTGAAAAACACACAGTTTCCACAGCTGACCTTTTATTTAATGTAAAGGAGCTTGAATAAATGTTTTCATCCTCTAAAACAGAAACATTGTTAAGAAGAAATTGAACATTTTCCCACTTTTTTTCCCCCCTTTAATTAAAATAACAGGAACAATCTTTTATCCTAATATTGTAGCCCTTAAATTGTTTAATAAACCTCTTTTATCTCTTTTACAAGATGTAAGACGAGCCTTTGTTGTCTCCAGAATGTCTCTGTAAAGTTTCAGCTTAAAATACCCATCAGATAATTTATCGACAGTCTAGCTGTTTTGTAGCCCGTGGCTTTAAATGCAAATGAGCTGCTTTACCCCCCCCCCCCCCCCCCCCCCCCCCAGAGTGATTGTAAACCGTTATGAGCTTCTTTCTTCTGTTAAACACTGAAGAAGATATTTTGAAGTATGCTGAAAACCTTTAACCCCTGACTTCCATACTAGAAATAAACAAAGGAAGTCAATGGCTACAGCAGGGGTCACCAGTCTCGGTCCTGGAGGGCCGGTGCCCTGCAGCGTTTACCTCCAACTTGCCTCAACACACCTGCCTGGGTGTTTCAAGTATACCCAAGACCATGATTAGCTTGTTTAGGTGCGTTTGATTAGGGTTAGAGCTAAAATCTGCAGGACACCGGCCCTCCAGGAACAAGTTTGGTGATCCCTGAGCTACAGGTTTCCCACATCCTTCAAAATATCTAGAAGAAAGTAAAGAAAATATATAGAAGAAATAAGCATTACTGCAAGAGAAAATGATGACAGCGTTTTAATTTTGGCTGAGCTGTCCCTTTAACGGTTGTAACTTCCTGCGTTGTTCTTCAGGAAACTGGAGGTCTGCATGTCTCAGCGCATCTCGATGGTCTTCGGTTATGTTGACCCTCATAGTGAACAGGCAAACAGCGGTTGTCAATAACCTCACAAGCAACAATCACATAGCTTTCTTCCCTATCGATGCTTTGAATATGACACTGTGAGCCATTCAGAACGCTTCGAACTAGATACACAGTGAAGCTTCTCTTACTGATGCACAAGTTCCCACTGTATTTGACACCTCCGCCGTTGCAGATTCTTATGACGCTGTCTGTGTCGTCTTTACGGAGGAAGGATTGTATCGGTTCTCTTCCACAAAGTCTCTTATTCTTCAGATAATCTGCCCAAGCGTGTGTCTGTCTGCGGCTGAGTCTTGTTGTGAGAATGTGTCTGCGTCCAAATGTATTGAATGCGTTGTTGCGCTGCGCTCTCTGGCAGGGAAATGACCGGTTAGATAACATCTCCAGCTGACCGTCACTAAGAGTGACATTAAAGAGTCCATCGCTGATTGTCAGGAGGAGCAGGAGGAGAAACACACACCTCATCCTGAAAGCAGAAGAGCGGCAGATGTTTAGAGTTGCCATCTGCCTGTTTTTCTGCCCAGGCTCATTTTGAAAAAGTACCTCTGTATACATTTCTGGAGAGCACCAAAAACGTCCTAGGAGCTACGCTTTTGTGCAGTTTTTTGTTTTCAAGAATCCACCAGAGGTCACTGTGTATGCTTTTTCAGATCTCAGATTTCTCCCACGAGCAGGGGCGCAACTACACATTTACTGAGGGGCATGCGCGTTCAAGTTTTGCAAACAAAATGATTTTGTCCTAAAGGCCAAAAGCGAATGCAATCACTTCTCATATGCAACCCAAGCTCATTCTGGAAACGTAGCCCCGCGGACGTTTCTGGAGACCACGATTTACGTGGCCGGAGGTACGTAAAGGCCGCGTTTGGTTTTTTTCGAGCGAACGATGCGGGGCGGTGTGGCGCCGCTCCGCCCCTCCTCTTCGCGCTCGCCGGCCGACGGCTCGCCTCCGAGTGGAGGGTTTTCCCGACGCAATTAGTTTGTCCGCCTAGCTCACAGCGTTGCGTCGCGGAGAGGAGGCCCCGGAAGAGGAGGAGGAGGAGGAGCCGGCCGCGGTGGACGACGACCGGTATCGAGTTCGGGGAACAGCGGGTTCCGGAAATCAGGTGAGACAAAAAACGGAATCCGAAAAATGAGGGCGAGAATGCGGCGGGATCCGAAAACGCGGTCAAAATCGAAGACGAGGGCTTTTGCTTTTTTTTTTTTTTTTTTTTCCCCGATCCGCTGGCTTTTCGCGCGAGAACGCCGCGCGCTCCCGAGAGGCGAAAAAGCGCGCACAGCGGCCTCTCGCGAATCCACTAAAACAAAAAAACGCTCGAATACGTACCTCCCGGGACGTAAATCGCGGCCCGCAGAAACGTCCGCGGGGCTACGTTTCCACAATGAGCCCGGGTTGGTCATATGCATGGTGTAAGGTCTGTCTTTGCATGAGCAATTGACTGAAACTGCTATTACACCTGTAAAATGCTAAAAATAAACTGAGGCAATCTGCCTGAAATGTTTTGTTTTATAACAATGTTATGGCCGAACATTTTTTCTTACTAAATTAAAATAGTTTTGAGCAAATAAAAAAAAGTTACCAGTGTCGTAATTCGACTTCTTATCAATTAGAAATTATCAGACCAGAGGTTTTGAATATCAGAAAATAGACTTTATTCTCCATAATAAAGCCGAGAAAGAGCAGAGCAGACCCCAGAGCATTCTGAAGTCTCTCCTGGACATTTCCTATCTTTGGTTCTCTCTTTCTCTTACTCTTTCTAAAGTCTCTGTGTTTTCCGCAATCTTTATACAGGTTATTTTCCACACCCCTAGGTGTCTTGTTTTAACTCTTGACCTTTTTTGGATAAGTTTTTACTCTATGTCAGGGGTCTCAAACTCGCGGCCCGCGGGCCATTTGCGGCCCTCAGTGCAATATTTTGTGGCCTGCGCCGACCGCTGTACACTGACAGAATCAGCGGAGCGGGGTGAGAGAGCGCTCCCCCGCTCCGCTGATTCTATCCGTACACAGCGGTCACTGGCATTCCCCGCCCGCCATGTAAACAAAGGGGCGGGGATGCCGGTGACGTCACCACGCACCCCGCCCCTTTGTCAGACGCTGTGACGGGCGGGAAGTGAGGAGGGAACTCGCGCCGGCCAGAATCAAGGTAAGCTGTTCCCGTCCCTCACTGCCACTTAGCTACCTATCTGCAGCCTGCCACCTACCTAGCTACAGCCTGCATCTTATATATATTATAGGTAGATACAGACTGATGTGACTGGAGTGGGGTGGGGGTGTTTTATTTATAAATATATACACCTTTTTTTAGGTGAGGGAATGGAAGTTTTGAGTGAGTTCCCCCACTTTTTTCCCTAGGACTTCAATAAGTCAAAGTACAGGGCTAGACTTAATGATGATCATCTTCAAGCCATACTGAGGGTCTCAACTGCTTCCGCTCTAAAGCCAAATGTGGTTCAGATTTGTGAGAAGAAGCGCTGTCAAGTCTCTGGCAGCAAGAAGTAGGCAAAAGATGCCATGTTCAGAAGAACTGTTCATAATCTTCACTTAATGTTCTATTAATGTTCAGGACACTTCATGTTCAGAAGAAATAATTAAAACTGTTAATAATGACATTTGAGGACTTTTTTTTTTGTGAAATCCCTTTTGCGGCCCAGCCTCACCCAGACTTTGCCTCCTGCGGCCCCCAGGTAAATTGAGTTTGAGACCCCTGCTCTATGTGGTCCTGCTATTCTTGGCTCTCAGCCAGCTTGCTATGGTCAGCAGAGATGTCACAGGTCTATGTCAGCAGAGCATAGATGCAACGTATGCAAAGGAACTAAGTGTTTACATACATTATCATGATAGCATAATCACTTGATAATGTTACTCATTCCATCTTCTGACACATATAGCTTCATAAAAGTATTTAACATATATAATCAGTGCTTTACATATTCAGTTATTCTACACAATCAGTCTCCAGCATAGCCTTCTCCTAGTGTTGCTCCTGTGCAGGCATACTCATCTTACACAGTAATTTTACACACGCTGGCATGTTTGCTGCAAACACTACATACATTTTGAAAAGAGAAAATTAACTGCTTTACACTTAGAAAATACTTCACACTGAGAGAATAAAATCTTCTTCTCCAGTAGAACTGATGTATCAATATGACACATAATAAATTTATAAAAACATGTGTATGGTATAAAAAAATCGATCTTGACAGAAGTATTATTAAACATTTCAGTTCCAAAAATGTGAATATTCTGACTGTTTGTTCATGTGTCAGCTTTAATCAAGTATATACAATTCATGTAGGGGAATTTCTTCATCCAAATATTATTTTTCTATTTTATCTGAAATCTATTGAGGTCTGTACTTACAAAAACACACATTTTGTGTAATCCCTCTTATTTTGGCCAGCGGAGAAACTAAAATGGTCGTGCCGAACTGAGTCTGGTTCTCTCAAGGTTTTTTTTCTTCACTCTCCTATTGGTGAAGTTTTTTTTCCCTCTCCGCTGTCGCCACTGGCTTGCATGGTTCAGGATCTGAAAAGCTACACATCGATGAATTTGCTCTTCAGTGTTTGAACTCTCAATAATGACTTCAAACCACACTGAACTGAGCTAAACTGAACTGAACTTAAACACTATAAACTGAACTACCCTGATCCAGTTACTATGACCATTTATGCCTAGTTCACACTAAAGGATTTTAAGCCTGATTTGAGCCCGATTTGGAAGTTAACGAGCTCGCCGACAGATCGGGCTGTGATCGGGAAGAAATCTGTGGGTGCTCGGCACTCGCCGCTCCTTATGTGTGAACGACTGAACAACGTATCAACGAGGCTCGCTGACGCGTCGCTGACACCTCGCAGACGGAAATCAAACATTCAGCATGCTAAATATTCCAGAGCAGTCGGCCGACTCAACCCCACGTGTGGTCAGATGTAGTGACGAGCTGCAGCCAATGAGAGAGCATACCAGCATGAGCTGAATGCCTGTGTGTTCAGGAGCTCAGCAGAAACATCTGTGATTGGTCAGAATGGGCATCGGTGCACTCGCT